CCAAAACATTCGTCAGTGGCAAACGACCGCATCAGCGGCTGATCTCGTGAGTGCCATTGCTCTCTTTCATAACATAAACTCATAATATCATTAACAGTAATTTGCAAGTGGTGAATGAACATTCACCATAAAATCAGGTTTATTCAGTTCGTTTCGCATTAACCTCTTATCGTTTGATAGTTGAGAGTGATAATTTGAATGCGGCTTTCAGGGACAATGCTTTGTTGCGATTGATCCAACTTGCTTTGCGCCGGGTTTTCATGGACGTCTTCAAGAATTAATTAATGAAATGCGTGATCTCAAACAAGTCAGTTTTTCACTTATCATTACTGGACCACTCATATCTTTATGGTTTAGATCAAGTACTTTATTTGTTTGCAGTTGAATGATGAGCAACCAGTGTTGATCGCTGGTGATCCAGAACGTGCTCATATGAGTATGTGTGATGAAGTTGGAGGAATCGTCTATAAGAAAACACAATTGCTTCATATCGTAAGCATTTTATATTGTTTCTAGGTAGCCACAAAAGGCCGTAATAACATTAGTAAAAGAGGTTGTAATAATGATAAATATAATGATAATAATAAGGATAATATTACAGCGCGACCTTGCTTCACGTCTCGGTGTGCGTCAGTTAAGCAAAACCGAATCGGTTCTGGATGAACTGTATGGTGGTCTCCACAAGGAAGGCAATTAATTGCGCAAGGCAATTCTATACACATACATCAATTTGGACAGCAAGAAAGACATTATGAATTATAGTTTATATTGCCACTTTGGAACGTATTGTATTTTCGATTGTTCAATTTTTTTATTGAGTGCTATTGAAAGTTTTTTTGACGACATAAAATTGCTTTTAAAATATCTCCTGTGGCCGTTACTATAATAGTTCTCTGCATGAGCCTGACTATTTCGGCACATTGATAGCAGCCATACACAATAGTGAGCATTCAGATCCACTATGATTCACTCATAAATCACTTTTCGAGATAATTGCACACATCCTCAACTTTTTCACGTAGTGATCGACAATCACACGTAGTGCTGCTGATCGATTATACGAATGGAGTAGATACAGGTGTTCTGATTGTGTTTTTAGATCTTGTTCTATGAACTCAATTCGGTGGCGTTCTCTTAATCATGAACGGCTCCGTATTACATTCATTTAGTTTCATAGTAAAGTTGTCAAGAATGTCTAGTAGACATCCATCCATATTTCATATGCGATCAAAGTATTTGACTCATAATATTATGAAAACAGCCAAACTCTCCGCTTCACTCTTCTCGCAGAACTTCACTAGATCAGTTTTTCTCAAATGAATATCAGAGCACACCGATAGTAGCCGCCAGAATTGACAATAACAATCAACAGTGCGTATCAGTGAATCGCCTTGCAATTTAAGCATTGTACTTCAACGTTTCGGCGTTATGCCATCTTCAGGAACATGTTGTTGAATCA